GGACTTCATCACCAATTTACCCCCCTCGAAGGGGAACACCACCATCCTCACCTTAGTTGACCGCTTTTCTAAGATGTGCTGGCTATTTCCCTTACCAAAGTTACCGACGTCCTTCGAGTTGGTTGACTTGCTGTTACAAGGAGTCTTTCGGTACTATGGGCTCCCAGAAGACATAGTATCGGACAGAGGACCCCAGTTTACCTCCCGTGTCTTCAGGGGTATGTGTTTGTGATTGAACATCTCACTCAGTCTCTTCTCAGCCTACCATCCCCAGACTAATGGCCAAACGGAGAGGACCAACCAAGAGGTAGGGAAAATGCTTAGGAACTCCCACTCCCACGAATGGTCGCGCTTCCTCCCATGGGCAGAGTACGCCTTCAACTCAATACCCCACGCACTGACCAGTCTAACCCCTTTTCAGTGTGTTCTCGGCTTCTAGCCCCCCTTGTTCCCTTGGAATCCCCCTTCCACAGATGTTCCCGCCCTCGAGGACTGGTATCGCCGCAGCAAGCGAACATGGGAGCAGATGCATCGTTTACTAGAACAAGGTGCCATTAGGACCAAGACCTTTGGGGATCGCAGACGACGACCTGGACCCCAGTTCAAGGAAGGTGACAGGGTATGGTTGGCTACCAAGAATCTCCGTCTCCCCATAGGACGCAAACTGGGTCCCAAGTTCATCGGACCTGTCCGGGTGACTAGATGAGTGGGACCAGTGACCTATCGCCTGCAACTCCCTCGTGTGTATAGGATTAATCCCACTTTTCATGTGTCCCTACTCAAACCCGTGCGTTATAGTCTTGCCCATCCCCTCGGTGGGCCCCTGGATGTCCCAGCTCCCCTTCCCATTCAAGGGGAGGACGTTTACGCTGTCCGTGAACTGTTGGATTCTCGTCGCCAGCGGGGCCAACTACAGTATCTCGTGGACTGGGAGGGTTTTGGCCCTGATGAGCAGAGCTGGATCCCTGCTAAGGACGTTCTGGATCCCTCCCTCATCGCTCAATTCCACAGGGCCCACCCGGGCCATCCGGCCCCTCGGCCGCACTGACA